GTCCAAATTGTTTGAAGACAATCCAAATCGTCCTTCTAAGCCGTTTATTACGGGCATTTGACTGCGAAAGAGTTCCTTAGACCATTCTTGGAGCGAAAAGGTTAAGAGTTTGTTGGTTTGCAATAATTGTAACGTCAACTAGGGATGCACTAGTCTGCATAGTTCGCCAAATAAAACGGACAATGAGAAAGAAAACCAACTAATGAGGTGGTATGGTATAAATGCAGTAAGGTAAAAGGCGATTTCGTTTCTCCAGCTTTTTTGAAATTACAAGCAAATTACAGCCAATCATAAGCCAATGTGTAGCACTCATTCGCTCGTCTTAGTCAAGATAGAAACAGTGCCTTAAGCCAAGTCACTAAGTATTTTTCAAACATAACTGAGCTTCGCTTTCAGCCACCCACGATAGAAATGGTCACAAGTGAGATGTGCAATAACCCTTCAAACGTTATGCCATGTGAACTGATGGGGAAGCTGTCATTGGAGTACACGCGACAAAAGATAATGGAGCTAAGAGTAAAGGTAACTAACTACTCGATTATTGTTAAACAGGCAATCACCGCTAAAACTAGTTTCATTGCATATTTCCAAACGTCATAAATTCTTAAAACCGCTAAACTTTCACAAAGTGGTTTGGAGAGGTATTTAATATAAGCATCATTTCGTAGATTGCCATTTGAGTAATCAGCTTCCTTCTAAAGCTCTGACTAAAAAACAAACATGCGAAAGCTATAATTCCAGAGATTACAGTAAACCCGTGCAGCCATCCCTTTCCCTTCCCCTTCCCTGATCATATTGTGGCTTTTAATACAGTAACTGAAACTGGCCTTGTTATGATCAGAGAGCTAGAAGATTTCATAGTATGTTGCAAGATATAAAGGAGTATTCTATCATGAATGCTTGTCACGTACATATAGAATACTCCAGGGAGCTTGCAGATCATTAGTGAAGCCTTACGACTCGTTTGACGTATCCTATATACCGAGATGAAGTATAACGTGAAGGCTGTCCGCCACAGAAATAGTCTTCCCCTAGTAACAGGCCTCGGCACGTGGTCGCCGATTGAACCTTACGAGAACGAATACTTGCTTGAAAATCCAGGAAATTTACAAAGTCCCCTTTGCAACCTGTACAAACGCGTGCAAACAGGACAAGCACTGTGCCGTATACTTGGAGCGCGTTTTCTTCATTAAGGAAAAACAATTTAGAGCTGTAGCAAGGAAGGAAAAAGTGCTGTGATCTGGTTATTGCGCTATAAGTTGTGTCAAGGGTTATGAAAAACAAAAAAGTGTTTGCTAATCGGAGACCAAATATTTTAAAGGTTTTTCAAGCACTTCTTCTACTCTTTTTTGCGCATCTTTATGCCAATGATGGTGGCTGTTCACTGCCTATCCGCTTAGAAAAACGGGTTTATCAAAATTTGAAGCCCTTTCAAATTTCCCACGCATACGCCCGCGTTGGAACGAACATTGAACATTTGCTGGAGCAGGTAAACGGCCTTTAATCGTGCATGGAATTACTTTTTTCACAAGAACAAATTCCAGTTTGCCCTCCGGAGAACAGCCGCGAGGTCTGCCTAGTAATCACCCTCTATACACGGGCTGTAAAACCATTGCCCCCACATCATACTATTAGGACCATCATAAAAAAACACTAATCATTCAGCAAAAGCATTTTGCAGATTTTTGATGATTGGGTAGTCTAGGGGAAATTCATTTTGTACACTCAAAGTTCATAATTAAGCTGAAAGCAAACCAGTGAAGAACGACTTAAACAACCGTGACATAGGCGGTTGGATGGGTCAAATTCTTAAAATAAGAACTATAAAAACATCTATAAGAAGATCTTCAAGGATGTAGACGCCTGCTTTTCTCACATTCAGTAGTTTGAGGGTAACAAGAAAGGTTAAGGACGAGTCGTTCCAAAAAAACTCCTCGTTATAATGTGAAGTCTCACCCAATACGAAGCTAATCACAAGGTTTTAAAGCAGGAGATTTTGCACGTATAACCTGACAATTTACTACACGTCTATAGAATTAGTAATTCAGTAGTAACATAATGAATTCCAAAGTAAATAATACTACCTCAGCGTTAACTTTCTAACAAGGAAAAAAACATATTTAGTACTCCTATGATTTATGTGGAAATGGACGATGACGTACATTAGAATAATGTTCGCATATTGTCAACTTACCACATTTCTTCTCGCAAGGTCTGCTTGGAATGTCTTCGGACAGTGTTCTGTTGTTTCTTTGCAGCGAGCCACACGTTAGCAATGGAGCACGGTCTCCAGCTGATAAGCACAATCAGTCTATCAGTCATTGCTTCAATTTTTTGCCAACAACCGTTCGTGGGTCAGAGGTTCCGGAAATAAATACATACGGGTCTTGAGACATGTCTTTAAGTTGTGCTGCCATTTTATTTGTTTACGACAATGACAGAGCCATCCCTTGTAAACATTTCAAAGCCTTTCACATCAAACATTTTACCATTGTATAATGTATCAAACATCAAAGTCTCTACTGGAACTTTTTTCTGAATGGTTTCTGTTTTCTAGAGTAACTGCCTTGGTTTGGATACAAGTTCCGAAGCCACTGAAGATGAAAAATGTGCACTGCTTGAGGATCTCCCAGAACAGTCGGTGAAGTTAGCTACGGTAAGGCAGCGAATCTCTTTAAACTCTTTAGCCGACTGTCAAGTGATAGTTTACATCCCATCTTAAACTATCATTTGACAGGCAATTA